TGGATTTCAGTATAATTTTCGACAGATAACAGCTAGTTTTTCAGCTGGAAGACGTTAACAGTTAGTGGTTAGCGATATACTGCTGTTCTGGTGTTCCTGGTTTAAGTACAGGTTCATTAAACTTGATTTGGTCACAGTAGGGAAATTTTGCTTTCAATTTAGTCGTGTACTTGGTAGCGTAGTTGATTGCGTCGTGTCAACCCAGCGCGCGCGTGGCGCTTAAACCATGCCTTGCGTGATGCGCAGAACGTGTGCGCACTAACAAAAGTAGGCACCGTCCTTAAGACAATCTCCCAGCTTTCCCACTCGCCAAGCAGTTGATCAACTGGCTGGGGCCACGGAGGAGGAGGGGGGAGGGGGTGGGGGAGAGGTGCCAGAACCTCCCGTATACTGAAGAACATAGATGACTTGGTCAAACGAATAATCTATCTAATGGCTGAATTGACTGAAAAGGGAGTGTTGCTTTTCTATGGCCCCAGTGCAGAAAAGCGAAAGATGACTTTATAGTTGTAATACGAAGACAGTGCGATGATTTTCGAGGTTTATACGGAGAAGCCTCAAAACTGCATGCCGACGACATTCCAGGTCAGTTTCGAAGTTGGTCGAAGAATAATAAACGATTTCCGAACACTTCTAAGGACCACCCGAACACTTCCGAAGATCATGACTTAAAGGATTTTAAAAGAGTTTTTAACATTATCGGAAGGTTTGCGAATGCTTTCGAAACTTCAGAAGATATTTGAAAGACCGGTGGTGGTGCCTGCCCAAGTAATCAGTTTATGAAAAGCCAAAGACGGCGTGGATTTTTTTTTTCAAACAGAAAATCACATAGATTTTTTTTATCGTACAATTGAGAACTTGTAACTTATCAAAGGCCCCGTCTCGCACTACGCCGGAGAAATTTGAAAACGGCGACTCACTCTGAAAACGCATGAATTGTTTTCTATCTACACTACGCCGGAGAAGTTTTTGATAACGCAACAATTTCGGTCGGGATATTTACAGTGACGGATCTAGGGGAGGGGGACGGGGGACACGGCCCCCCCTTACTTTGGGTAAAAAAGAATCGCAGAAGGAAGAAAAGCCGGTAGGACAGGCAAAAAAAGAAAACTGCTCCCCTCCCCCTCCCCTACTTAGCTCAAAGTCTGGATCCGCCACTGATTCAGACCGAAATTCGCCGTTCCTTTTTTGACAAACCAGTTCTTTGCCCTAATTAGGGAATTCGGAAAAGGAATAAAAAATGGCAAGAGCTATTCCACTTTCCTCGGGTATTCCCCCCGGGGTATTCCCACTGATCTCTGACAGGTGGGTTTGGCATAATGGAAAGCACCCAAAGTCTTCAAAATGTTTTCGTTCCGTACTAAAACACAACTGCTGGCCTTTTCGAATTCGTCATGTTCGAAAAGCGTTTCCGAAAAGCTCCGTTTTCGTGACGGATTAGTGTGGACGGTAGATCTAACCGTTGAAATAAAGCTGCGTTTTCAAGTTTCTCCGGTGTAGTGTGGACGCGTCCATCAACTACAAGTTCAACTCAGCTACGGCGCTCGTCCAATTAACGAATGTATTCCAGCGATAAGAAAAACAACGTTTCGGTGACATCGTGACACCATTTTCAAGTTTAAATGCAAAAAGATAAACTGTCAGAAAATTCGCTCGAGATTAACATACTTCGTAATTACATATACAATGCTACGCAAATAGTTTTGCTTGAATTGAGTCCAACTGGACATTAAGAGATGGTGTTAAATCTCTAATTAGCAGCATTTCATGCACTAAACAATCGAACTTACTCATGCACTTCCTGAGAACGGAAAAATGTCTCTACAGGTCTTTTGG